TCTGGGTCAAGACAAACATTTTTGTAAATTGGGCAAGCTCCTCCTCCATAAGAAAGTGCCTATCTCTATTAAGTTGAGGCTAACAGCTGATATGAACTGAAAATTTTTAAGAGTTTTTTTAGGGTTGTTATTGACATAGGGCATAGAAAGATTTGGCCTAATGACACATGAGAGCACGTAGTCTTACAACATCGCATCATCCTTTCTTTATGTTATGCCATCTATGCATGGAAAGCAGCTACCCCAAACCTTTTCACTCGGTTTAGAAAGATAATGGGGGAAATCATTATATTTTTCCTTGGAAGATAACGTTATTCTTGATCCAGGTTCATAGATAATTTGAGTAACTGCAGCTTAGGTACATAATATGAGGTCAAAAAACACTAAGTTTCATTACCATTGTTTGTACTTACTATTATTTACTGGAGAAGAATTTTAGAACAAGTAAAAATACCAAATGCAAAAGTAATACCCTGCAGAACGCAGTACCGTACGCCCCCAGTACACGCCGACCAGACTTTCAGCCGAGGCACCGAATTTCACCACAAAGACGGCATCAAAAATGTGCTGAAAAACTCGGTTTATACATGATTATATACAGTAGTGGTTTGTTTTTTAAATTTGATACCTTCTCAACACGATCTCTGAAGACAAAATGGATCCATAAGCAAAAAGCTGATGGTGCCCGGCTATCAAAAGATAAGCATATGGGGTCTTAAAGGTGTGAAGAGCCCCAGTCATTTAGCAGGGAAGCAAATAAGCCCACGTGGAAGAAGCACAACAGCCTGTGCAAATATGAGGTGTCAACAGAATCAGATATCAAAAGATCCAAAGCAAACAAATCATTGTGAACTGAGGGCAGTGAATGTACAGATGTGCTTTACACAATTGATGTATGTATGGATTGTGATGAGTTGTATGAGCCCCTAATAAAACGATTTAAAAAAAAACGACATGGGGGAAAAATTTTTTAATACATTATCAACGGTTCATGAGGGAGGAAAATGAGCTGATATCAAGGGCTCAAGAAGAAAGAAAATGTAAAAAAAAAAAAGAAGAAAATGTTTTGAAATTGATGGCAACATATATACAAATGTGCTTGACACAATGGATGTATGGATTGTGATAAGAGCTGTAAGAACCCCCAATAAAATGATTTTTTAAAATAAATAAATAAATCGTTGTGAACAATGGGAGTTGGAATGGAGACTCAAATCCCATCTGTAGACAATTGGACATCCCCTCACAGAAGGGTTACAAGGAAGGGACGTTTCAATCAGGGTGCAGTATAGCACCAACAAAACACATCCTATACTTCCTGAATACTTCTTCCCCCCAATACCATGACTCAGTTCTACCTTACAAATCTGTCTAGACTGTAGTACACACATTGGGACAAATAAGTGTTCTGAACACATGGAATTCAGGACAGATAAAACTCTTAGGAACAGTAGTGGGAGTAGCAATAGCATGTGGGTAGGGGATGGTGGAGAGGAGGGGTGGGGGAGGGGGAGAAAGGGGGAACCCATCATAGGGTTTGATATTTAGCCCCCTTCCAGTGGGGGCGAATAACAGAAATGGAGGTGAAGGGAGACAATGGACAGCGTAAAACACAAAATAACAATAATAACATATAATTGATCAGTTATTCACAAGGGTGGGAGAGGGGGTTAAAAAAAGAGGAGTAAATACCAAGGGCTCAAGTAGAAAGAAAATGTTTGGGAACTGTTGATGGCAACATATGTACAAGTGTGCTTAATACAATTGAATGATGGATTGTTCCAAGATTTGTAAGAGCCCCCCCAATAAAATGATCAATAATTTAAAAAAAAATCTAGATTCTAGCTCAATTAGGTCTCTATTTGGAGTGTCTTCTGTTTACTCTGTTCCATCCAATTCTGGTTTGGTCATCTAATTTGCAAATAGGCAGATATGAATATCGAGACAGTTCTCACATTGTAAAGATACTTGGTTTTGCAAATCGGGTAAACCAAAGCAGTTGACTCTGCCCTTGAGATAGTTCCAACTCATGGAGATGGCTAAAACAGAAACATTCACAAGGTAGAGAAACCAATTGCAAGGTATTTGGCTGGTGCTCTTGAGCTTGGCCAACATCTATTGTAGACACTTGTGTAAGGAGTACTGTGGTATACCAGACTGATTATATGGAGAAATGACATTACTCTTCCCTGATGCTCACATGACTTTCTTCCTTCTTAAATTATTTTAATCCAGCTTCAAACACTGATTCAAGAGACTGACCCTGGTGCAGATTATCGCATTGATAGAGCTTTGAATGAAGCCTGTGAATCTGTAATACAGACGGCCTGCAAACACATAAGATCTGGAGACCCAATGTAGGTTCTTTTACTTGTATATTTGGCATGAGTTTTGATTGAACATCATATTTGAAATTTTCTTGAATGGGAACATATACCAGCTTTTAAAACTAGTATTAGAATTGAGACTTAGGCTCTGCCTCATTGATCATGTAGAGACTTGACCCAGCATTGGGGTGATGAATGTTGGCAATGGTTGATCATACATTAGGTCACTTAATGGTCATATACAGATGGGAGAAACTCTCAGGATAAAGTGACTCGTGCTGTAATTGTTCATTGACTATTTTATTTGCTCATTGTCCTATTTGTTCATTGACGACTCGATGATTAGAAAGTGGTTATTTATTGAAATAGAAATCAAGATGTGGTGGTAGGAGGCTGTGGTGACGGCTTCAGAATGAAGACTGTTGTACCTACTGTCTATGAACACTGTATAAATGCTAAATAAAGCGAAAACAGGCCTTAAAACTAGGATGTAAATGGGGGG